ACCAGTCAAATAGATTTTGAAACCAATTTTGATCCTTTTGTTGAGCATATTTAGTCTTTAAATTTTCCCTGACCATAGCTAAGGTATCTCTAATGACACCAGACTGATTAACATAGACGTAACAGGTTTTCTGTTTTTGGGGGGTTTTTTTCCCCTAGGGCTACATATAACCCTCCTTGTTTTATGACCAGGAGGTCAAGTCCCCTTTGATTTTGCAGGACCATCTCAGCTAGGGAATCAACCTGGTTTTTTAATCTGGAGATCAAGTCTTTCAGGTGACCCAAATCTCTGGCTACTTGGTGGCTTAAGGTTTTTAAAATTTGTGTCCTGAAGGATCAGGGAGGAAGTGCCAATAACCACTGACCCGGCTATTCCTAATCCCACCAGAATGGGCACTAAAACGGGGGCAGCCCATTTACTCCTGTAGTGTTCAGTGGTTAATTCCAGATGTTTGTGGCTCCCTTTTTTATTATAATACAAGACTTGTGGAACAACATACACGGTGACACAAAATAAAGTGGCAGATTGGGTAGCCAAGACTGATTTGGGAATGTATTTAGTCAAGTCCTCGGTGCAAGCAAACCAAGCATATCAGGACCGGGTCTCCTGGCTTGAAACCGTGGGGCTGGAACGTCGCAAAGGGTTTTTCTCGAGCCTGTTGTATTGCAGCCTGGATCTCGCTCTGGAGAATCTGTAAAGGCTTGAAGAGACTGAAGTGGACACAAGAACTCTCTGTTATCTGTTCAAGGTTTAACTTAGGTAGGAGTGGTGGCAGCCTCCCATACAGGATTTTAAAAGGGGTAAACTTGTCACATATGGGGGTACATCTAACTTAACAAGGCTAGAGGAAGCACATTGGGCCACCTACCGCCAGTTTCTAGAACATATTTAATCAAAGTTTCTTTCAAGGTCCTATCTGTCCTTTTTACTTGCCCTGAACTTTGTGAGCGATAGGCACAGTGTAACTTCCAATCAATATGTAGTGCCCTTGTCAACAATTTGGATATCTGTGCCGTGAAGGCAGGCCCATTGTCAAACCCGAGGTAACAAGGGATCCCAAATCGGGGAACTATCTCCTGGAGCAAAACCTTAGTTACTATGTTGGCTGATTCTTTATGAGTGGGGAAAGTTTCTACCCAACCTGAGTAGGTGTCAGCCAATACCAGTAAATATTTGAACCTATTGCTGGATTTTATTTTAGTGAAATCAAGTTCCCAATGTTCCTCTGGCTCTCCTCCCCGTGGTCGATTACCTTTGTTTCTTGGTCTTGCCTTGGAGTTTAACTGTGTACGTACCTGACACCTGGAACTGATGTCCTGGACCATAGAGGTCAGTCCTGGGGTTGAAAACTTAGAGCTCATTAGTCTTTTTAACTTTGATTTTCCCAAGTGAATTAAGTGATGTAACTTATGAACAAGTTGTCACCCCAGGGCTTGAGGGAGACAAATTCATTCCTTTGTCCCTTTCCATCAGCCTGAGTCCAGTTTTGTAACCCCTCACTTTTGATTTTCCTCTTTCTCTTCTGGGGTATATGTGGGCTTTTCTGGCAGGTAGCCAAAGGGCCGGACAGGCAGAATGTCTATTGGCCCCACTGGTTCTTTGGCCACCCTTTGGGCCGCATCATCGGCCTCTCGGTTACCACGGGCTTTAAAGCTGTCTCTTTTTTGGTGGCTTTTGTAATGAATAATGGCCAATGCCCTGGGTTTCCAAATTGCCTCCAATAAGGCTAAAATTTTATATATAGTTTTCTGTTCTGATGTCAATAGCTCTCTCTGTCTGTAGATGTCACCATGTACATGGGCAGTGGTGAATGCACACCGGCTGTCAGTGTAGATGTTTACAGCCTTGTCTTGACCTAACAGGGCTTAAGTTAAGGCTGTTAGTTCAGCCCTCTGTGTTGAAGGCTTTTGGCTTAATGCCTGTGTCCAGTGTACCTGTTTTTCTGGACAGACTACGGCAGCCCCCACATACCTGACTCAGTCTTCCATGAAGCTGTTTCCATCAGTGAAGAAGGTCTCATCTGGGCTTTGCAGGGCAACATCAGTCAGGTCTGGGTGGTTGGTGGTGGAAGTTGTCAGAGTGTCCAGACAGTCATGGAGGGGCATGCGTATGAGTCGGAGTCCGGGAGTAAGGTGGCCAGATTGAGGGTGGTTTCTTGGGCGAATGTGATGCATGGAGCATCCAGCAACAGGGCCTGGTACTGAGTCAGGCAGGCGTTGGAGAGCCTTCGTTCTGGGGCACCTCTCAGCAATGTTTCCTCCACATGGGTTGCGGTGATGACCAGGTCCTGTCCCAGGCTGAGCTTATCTGCCTCTTTGACCAGGAGGGCAATGGCTGCAACTGCCCTCAGACAGGTAGGCCATCCACTTGCCGCAGGAGCAAGTCTTTTAGACAGTAGGCCACAGGTCTGTTCCAAGGCCCTAATGCCTGAGCTAGCACTCCTTTGGCTATGTCCCCTCGTTCAGCCACAAAGAACCGAAAGGGCTTGGTGACATCAGGTAGGGCGAGGGCTGGTGCTGACACTAAGGCTTTCTTTAAAGCCAAAAAGGCGGCTTTCTCTTTTTCTGTCTGGAGGGACTGTCTCTTGTGTCTGGAGTGCAGCAATAGTGACTTCCCCCAGTTTCTTGGCTAGGACTTCCTCAGGGGGCATCATGGTTATCATAAACTTTCTGGGCTATGCTCAGGAGTTTAGTCTTATTCTTTCCCTCAAATCCCTCTAATTTCTGTAATTTTTTTTTTAATGCCTGGGGCCAACTGGGAAACAAAGGCCAGATTTAAAGCTGCTGCATTTTTGGGTGCCTCTGGGTCAATAGGAGTGAAAACTCTATAGGCTTCCAAGAGTCTCTCCAAAAATGCATCCAGAGACTCCATTTTTCCCTGGCAAACCTCACTTACCTTACTCAAATTAGTGGGCTTTCTGGCCGCTGTCTGGAGTCCCCCTAATAAGTGCTGGTGGTAGGTCCCCAGCCTCCTCTTACCATCATCATCATTGGGGTCCCATTCGGGGTGTTGTGACTGAACTACTGTTTCAGCCTTGGCTGAATGGCTCGGAGTTCTGGGAGTGATGCCGGGGTTTGGCCCCAGGGCCTCTTTGACTGCCTATTGATAAATGTGGTCCTGCTCCTCAGTGGTGAACAGGATCTGTAAAAGCTGCTGGCAATCATCCCAGGTTGGCTGATGGGTATGAAAAACAGACTCAAGAAGAGATTAATGCCTGAGGTTTTTTTTTCAGAGAAGGGATTTTGATGTTTCCAATTGTAAGGATCACTAGTTATAAAAGGGACATAAATCAGTCCTCCCCCGGGCTCTGTGTGTTTTAAAGGAAAAAGGGAGGAGGAAGATGGGGCTGATAGACTGTAGTCCTGTCCCAATCAAGTGCCAAAAGTTGATCGGGACCTGTGGGGGCCCGACTCCCGTGACCACATTTCAAACCTTGCGAGCAGTGTGCACAGAATAAATTCCCACCGGGAGCCAACTGACTCCGAAACTTGGCCATTCTGATTGACACAGAGTTTGCAATTTGTCTTTGGAAAATTTCATGCCATATTTATCTTCTCTGTCTGTGGAATAAATTTTTTGAAGTTATCCAAAACACAGTCAAGTGGAGTTCCTTATGTGGACTGTGAGAAACCCATAATTTCAGCCTGTGAAAATGCAAAAGGCACACAAAGCAAGCAGACAGACAACAATAAACAGACAAAAACAGACTTTGGCCACATAAACCCCTAGGGCTGAATGAATTCAGACCCCACCCAGGGAGGCCCTCTTCTGAGGACTCCAACCCAGTTGAGCCTGTTCACCGGTCGTGAAGAGGCTGTAGGTAGGAGGAACCTGCGCCACGTCTGGCTTCCTCCTACCTACCCACAGTGCACTAAGAATCATTCGATTCTTACCTCTAGAGGCTTCCCCGATAAACTCCTGTGGGTCGGTTGATCAGCGATCGGGCCTGACTGGGACTGGCCTACCTGGAGCCCCGGAATACCGTCAGGGTGGCCTCTCCTTCTGCAGACTGGTGTCCAGAGGGGCCAAACACCGCCGATGTCCGATCCTGGTCTCTCCTAAAAAGAAACAAAGGCTCCAAGATAATAAGCTCCAGAGCAGCTGGCCATCTCACTGGGGCCTCCAAGTATGTTGCACCTAGCAAAAAGAACCAACCAGAGAACGATATTAAATCCACACAGGAGTTTATTACCAGCCAGGACCCAAGCCGAGCATCAGACTTGAGTCTCGACTGGGGGTTGACAAACATGTTTTATACACCTTTGAGGCCAACAGTTTCTAGGCCCCCCTATGGGATAGAACTAGTAAAGCAAGCAAAATGTACAGAAGCGGAA